CAAAATGGAAAGAGGGGAGATAAGTGAGCCGCATCAGACGCCTTCCCCGTGCTTCGTGCACCAAGAGAGCGACAGTCACAGGGGGAAGGGGAGCTGGGAGCTGCCCAGACAGAGCTCCATGATTTCCGACAGCGGCTCAGACAACGACATAATGTGCGTGGATGAATTAGGGGACTTCGTGGACAGCAGCTCGTGTGATACCAAAAGCGACTCTCGGAGACAAGACACGACCGCTCCCACACCAGAAACTAATCTGGAGCCGGAAAATGAAGCTGGAATCGACACTAAAAAATGCGCTTTGGAAACTTCTAAGAGCACATTGCTTCGCAGCCAGAATAGTGCATTCAGGTGCTGGAAGGACGAGGAGCCAGATTTTCAAAAGGATAACAAAAACGATCATTTTCCAGAGGAAAAGACGGATTCTGCTAAAGACAAAAGGGGCGAGGGGGGACAGTTCTCGGCCGGAAGCGGAAAACTGACTAAAATGTCACATTTGTTTGTGCCAAGTATCCAACTGCTGCCCAGTGACGAGGATGTCAGACAACAGCTGCAGAACCAGAAACATCCTCCATGTGGAGGTGGAGCGGGGATAAACCTGAGCTCTGACAACACCTTATACGTCGCAGAGTCCAGGAGTGTCACTACATCAAAATCACCAGAAATTAAAATTAACCTAAGGAGCGTCAGAAACAATGAAACGGAGCCTTTTGGCGTCTCCAAACCGCGCGCTCCCAATTTAGGCTGTAATGCAACCAGGACAGATGACTTCAAATGCCAGGCGCTGGCTGCATCTTTGAAGGGAGAGTATGCAGATAAAGTGCCGCAATTCATGGTAAGAGACATTCGAGATAATAAAGGAAAGCTACAGACGCCCATTCACCAAGTGAGAGACGTGCGTAAATTGGTTAAAAGCTCCTATCACTTTGTTTCTTCGGATAATAACGACAATCAATCAAACCTCGCCTCTATTGACAGTCACTCTGAGCAAACAAAGCAAACGCCCTATGGAAATGATCATTCTGTGTCCCCCATGGTGATAAAATGTCAGTCAGTGAATACAAATAGTAACGGACAACAATCTGGTAATCTTGAGTTATCTAAACAGCAGTCATTGGACCTAAACTTCTCCCCTTCAGAGGGCGCTAAAAGTGGGCCATTGCAAAAGGCAGCAGGAAGAACGCTCATGGGTACCTCTGATAATTCCTCAGAGGGAGGCAATGGATTGAGATTTGAAAGTAAAATAGCTTCAAGGAAGCAGGAAAAATTATCAGATATCATAGATAAGAAACCCGAATCATGGATGGCAAACCAGGTGGCTTTGGCAAAAATCCAGGCTGCTGTGAAAACCATGGAGCAGCAATATGTGTTTGATCAAAATGAATGGAAGAGGAAGAATGAACCCTGGCCCCTGACAGACAGCAGCTTGCTTTCACTGATAGCCAGCCAGAAGCACGGAGGACTTGAGGAGGA